CAGGAGCCAAGAGCCTGGCGTCCAGGCCCATCTGCTGCAGTTAAGGGTGTTCAGGGTCCGAGCGGCACAGCAGGCCTGACGTGGACTCCAGAGCCGCTCCCTGGGCTTCGGGTACAGCTCTTGCCCTCTGTGTGACAGCAGCAAGCTTGCCTGACCTCTCTGTGTCTCCCTTGTAAACAGGGGGTTATGAAAGCACCTGACTCGTGGTGTCACCCAAGCATCTGTGTGACACCGTTCAGCCAGTGTACTCTGGCTGCATTGCCAATCCACCCACTCGCCCCAAAGCTGCCTGCTGCATCTGCCCACGAGCCAAGAGCAACACTGAGGGCTGAGTTGGCAGCCTGCGCCCTGGGCACACCCTCTCGCTCCCAGCCAGCCTGTGCCATGCTTTGGTGTTGGTTGAGCTGCTGAAACACCAGCCCTGAAGGGACTGAAACCTTTCCCCAATGCCTTCCATCTGTGAGAGGCTGTCCCTGCCCAGCCACATGACTAAGGCACCTCTCACCAGGGCTCCCTCATGAGTGACGAGCCAGGGTCCTGGGTACGAGGTCAACCCCGTGCCTCACGCATGCGCTCTGCCTCCCTGATGTGCCTGGAGTGCACCAACTCAGCTGGGTGTGTGCAGGGCTCCTGGCACCTGCCCGACCTCCTCTTCCTGGACTCACCTCGGGCCTCACCTTGTCCAGAAGCTTCAGGGTCCTGTGGACACCCCTGTCCCCATGCAGATGCCTCCCCACAGGGATCAGCCCCTGCCCAGGCCACCAAGACTCCTGCTTTGCCTTGTCCACGGTGCTTGCCTGCATTGCTCTTCTGGATCAGCTTCCATGGGTGCCCCAGTCCCTCTGGAGGAACTGTTGTTCCCGCCCCTGTGAGCTCAGAGCCACTCCCTGTTGACTGCTGAGGCTTCCCTCTGCAGGACAGAGACGCGAGGATTCTGTGCCATCTCTGCATCCGCACCATACCAAGCGCATGGCCCAGCATGGGCCCTAAGGATGCCTGTTATGCCTGCACTGATGGGTGGGTGGATGGATGGATGGACAGATGAATGGACGGACAGATGGACGGATGGAAGGAAGGATGGATGGAGGGGATGATGGATGGATGGATGGATGAGTGGATGGTAGTTAGTGGGAGGACACAGGGATGGGTGGACGGATGTGGGGGAGAGGCGAGCACACCATCCCAGGATACGAAGGGCTGTTGAGCTGAACCGATTAAGAAGAGCAGGTACATGAAAGCTCTCTTCACTCCATTGTCAGAAAAGCAGAACACAGATCGACAAAGACAGAAAGGATCCTGTCCAGCCTCCTCCAGGGGGAACACAGGTTAACACTAAGACGACTTTAAGCCCTAGGCCTGGAGACGCACCAGAGGAATCCAGGTTAACAAGCTTTCCAGGGAGCATCGCCCACGTTGCTGCCCCTGGAGACGCATGACCTGGAACCCAGCACCCCCTCTTAAAGAGCCATCCATTCTCTGGGTGTCTTTCGTATATATGTGGACATGAAATTCACATGAGAACACATTTCCTGTCGTTTTCCTCTTGATAAGCTGTTGTTGTTGGTTTTTTTTGCCACAGAGGTTCAGATACAAACTTAGGAGGGGTGAAGAAAACTTTTCTTCCCCAACAAATAGCTGAATGAACGGGTGGATGGACGTGTGGATACATGGACACCTGAATGGACGGGTGGTTGTTGGGCTGGAGGATAAACTGGTGGCTTGGATGGATGGATGGATGGACTAATGAGTGGACAAAGGACAGGTTGATGAGCAGATGGACAGTGGACAGAGAGGTGAGCCAATCTTTGTCATTCACTCTTACTAAGTCAATAAGAGACAGGAAAGAACTTGAACAGACTCATGTGAAGTGGAGCCCCTCAAACTGACCACAGAGGTGACGGGCCCAGGCCTGTCTGTCCCAGGCAGTCTGTCCTCCCTGCCACGTCACGGCAGCCACTCCCCTCAGTTCTGGTCCATGTTTCTCTATCACGGACCTTGGGCGTCTCTGTGGCTCTCCTGCTCAGATGGACACTTGGCTGAGGCGCCTTTGGATGGCCAGCGCTGTCCAGGTACCCCAGCTCAGAGTGAGCTGGTCTCAGGTTTCAGCTCTGAACAGAACACCCTGGTCTGCCTGGGTGTTGGCAGATTTTCCGAGGACAAAGACGCAGTTAAGGGAAGAGGAAAACGAGAAAGAAAAGGGTGACCAAGAAGAGACCACAGTGTCCCCTGTGAGCCACCCACTGTCTGGAAGCCAAGCCACACCGTGATTCAGGGTGAGGGCTGGAAGTGGCGGGCCCCTCCGAGATGTGTGATGTGGCCAGGAGAGGTCAGGGAGGATGGGGTAAAGGACACCGGCAGGCGCTGAGTGCCGTAGACCCAGCCACTCTGGAGTAGGGTATGATAACCCCATTCACAGGCAGAAGGCAGAGGCACCGGGAGGGGCGACTGCAGAATGCCACCTAACAAAGGGGTGGATCCAGAATCCAAGATGAACCTAGGTCTCGGTGACCCCAAACCCTGGGCTGTGTCTCCGGAGATACTTAGAGGAAGTAAACAGGGGAGTGGCAGAAAGGAGGAGGAGGCACAAGGAGAGGACAGCCCAGGGCGGTTGCCTGAGTGTCCTCACCCCCTTTGGTGGGAGCCCCAGAGCCACATGCTCAGAAGCAGCTGGGTGCTGAGCCTTCCCGGGGCGTGATCCAGAGAGCGCCGGGCAGGCGGTGATGCTCGGCTCCTGCTGCAGAGAGATGATGTTACCCTGTAGGTGACAGCGATTGATCGCTTTTTTCTCAAATCAGCCTATTAGAAATAATCATGCTGGCAACCGCGGGCCATTAATCTGCGCTGGAACCCAACCTGCACAGGCCGACATGGGGCGGGATCTGCAGAGAGCGGGCGGGGAGCTCTGCAGAGTGAACCCTGCCGTGAGGCGTCAGAGCCAGGGAGCCCCGGCCCTGCCCAGGCGGATCTGAAACAGCACACAGACACCAGGTGGCCATGGGGGACCCGGGGCTTCCTCCTGAAGGTGCCACTCCATTCTCAAGTGGCCTCTGTCCCTCCGTGTTGAAGTCCGTGATCAGCTGGGTTCCATCCTGGGTGATGGTGGAGAAGCAAAGACAATGACTCTGCATTTGGTGTCCCTGGGCTGGTGGCATGTCACAGGGCAGGAGGAGGCACTGCCCCAGGGGAACATAGTTCATCACAGATATGTAAGAATCCCCAGACCTGTGATTGTAGAAGAGAGAGGGACGTCCAACTCTCTTCCGGCAAGGTCCTCCCGGGGCCCAGCTCCATGCCACCCTCCCACAGACTGGAGGGACCCCCACATGGGAAGGCTTCGGTGAGTCTCCAGCGTCTGTGTCCTTGGGGGAGCTGTCCCCCTACCCACTTCCACCGTGAGAGCTCCTGACATTCCAGGGACCAAGAAGAAGGAAGGACGCAGGGTCCGGGCTGAGACCTGGCCACAGAGGCCACCCTCAGAGTCCAAAGCCGCCCAGGGCTTGCTGGAGCTGCTGGTAGCAGGCCTTCTCCTGAGACGCGGCTCTGCACGGTGCCTGGTGGACAAAATAGTGAAGCTGTTCCCAGCAGGCCTCCCCTGACCCGTAGGACCCTGCCCAGGCTCAGCTCCCTGGGGGCCGGGCACCAGGCAGGCTCGTGAGACTCGGCTCTCACCCCTCTTCTGCAGAACACCGGTTCTGAGCTCCAGGGTCCTCTTCAGCTGGGCATCAGCTCTCCAGGGCCCTCAGGGGCCAGTTGCCCTGTCTCCGAGCCAAAGTCAAACGTGCCCCCTCAGTGGGGCAGCTGAGCACGGAGCCCCAGGCAGGGCCGTGTTTCCCGAGGTCCTGCCTCCCGCTCTGCTCGGAGACCCTGCCTGGCTCCCTGCCTCGGTTTCCCCTCCAGGTCTCTGACCCAGACCTGCCCTGCTCCTCCTGTGGGCACCACCTGGGCTGGACAGCTGGGAGGTGCCAGGGCCCCCCGGTGTCCCCTGCTAGACCTCGGGGTGAGGCGCTAGCTTGCTTCCCTTTCTCTCGCCTTGGGAGCAGGAGGTATCTGGACAAAGCCGCGGCCACTCAGGGAGGCTGAACTCCGCCAGCGGCTCCGCAAACAGCCGCGACTCACCCAGCGAGAGGCCCGTCTCCCAGAGCACCCGCCCGCCTGCCTGGCTGACCTCTGACTTTCTGGAAACCAGCTTCTGTGAGAAGCGCTTGTGCGTGGAGCCTGGCCCAGTGGACTCACTTTCTGACGTGGCTGAACTTTTGCTGAGAGGGACCCAGTCACCTGGACGGTCCTCAGTGCTGACTGCGGTTCGCAGAACCACGGCTCCCGTCCTGGCCAGAGGCTCCTCAGGGACCCAGGAGCTCTCTCTGCGGCTGCTCCCCGTTCCGTTAAGTTTCGTGTGTGTGACTCGCGGGGGCGGCTCAGACGTTGTCACCCACAGGAGAACGTGTGGACCAGGAGCCGGCACTCAACCTTCCCACAGGCTCCAGCACGGGCCTCGCAGCTCGCGGCCACTGTCCCAGGGTCCCCTGTCAACTCAGGTGCTATGACCTCTAACGGCTGAGAAGCACTTCCCCTGGACAGCAGCCCCTACCTGCTGCAAAGTCCCGCAGATTCCAGCCCCTCACGGGTCCACACCCTCCCCACCTCCCGTCCCTGTGCGCTGTGACTGGCTCCTTGTCTCCTCTGGCCTTCCCACTGCCCTGCGGTCCCGTCTCCTCCACTGGGACTCGCCGGGCACTCTCTGTGGCCTCCTGCTCGGCAGAGACGGGGCAGTCTGGTGTGATGCCTGTTTTCTTTGGGCAATTCGGAGACAATCATCCTGGGAAAGGAAAGTTCTGAGCTGCATCTCTCAGAAGCCCAGGCAAAAGAGCTTTAGAATCTGGCTCCGGGCATCCCCTTTTGTACCGAGAACACGCCATCAAAGTCCCCTTTCTTCTCGTCCTGATTACCCCTTCTCAAGCCCCCGCCTCATCACAGAGCAGGGAGCAGATTTGGGGCCATTGTGCCGGTGGATTGCATGAGGTCAGAGGCTGGGAGAGAAGCCCCCGGGAACCCAGCTCCTCCAATCCTGCCAGAGGCCAGGGCCAGGGGCCGTGGGGCTAAAAAGGGCTCCTTTTCCCTTCCGAGGTTGCTTTATATCCTTTCTCATTAGAAAGAATAATGTCATGCCCTTTCTGCAGAAAGTCAGGGGCAAACATGGATTTCTTCAACGATTTTTTAAGGCGAGCTTAAAAAAAAAATCCACCAGGAGGAAAAATACAGCCTCCGACGGAGCCCTCTGTGTGTGATGAATCCACCGCTACCATAGCCTCTTCTCCTACAGCCAAGTGGCTGCAGCAAGAGGCTTTTATTATTGCTCATGTGTTGTTTAAATATTTCAGCTGGGAGACGCTATGCGAAGAGACAATAGCCTCCCTGACACAAGATTTATTAGGGAAGGTTGGCACAAATATATTTGTAGGGAACAAAATATGTTTGTAGAGATTATTCCAGATTTACAGTGATTAATAATGGATCGGAGCTGGTGGACGGGCCTCAAGGAGCCGCCGGCCTCCCTGGCAACTTCTGCACTGGGCTGAGTCAGAATAGAACATCGACTTGGGGGACACCAGGAGCCTTCTGCCCAAGGAGTGAAGCTTTCCCACTGGAGTGAAAGGAAACCCCAGGAAGCAGCGGAATACCTTATCTGCCATCCGCACTGACTGGCTAACGGGGCTCGCACCAGGAGGCATCCGGGGGCTCGGCACCGGCAGGGGCTCCCTGAGACCCCCAGAGCAGATGACCACAGAAAGGGATAGAGGCGGCTTCAGGGAGACAAAGAAGATTATGAGGCACTGCCCATGGATGTGTCCTCTTTTATCCACTCTGCGTCCAAAATGCCTCTTCAGGGACATCTCGAGACCTTACCCAGGTGCATCGTCTCCACCTGAAGGTGAATGGTGGGTAGCTCAGCCACGCCCCTGCCGTGCCAGGGACTCTGTGTAGCGGGGCCCCTCCCACCTCCCTGCAGACTCTGAGCCCATCAGAGCACCGCGGGGAGACCTCTCCCACACACTCCTTCCCCTGCCAACTGGCCCTCCATAATGGCCCATCTTCTTCGGAGAGCCGGAGTTGGCTGGAAACACAGTATGATTAATAAAATTTGCCACCAGACCCGAGGTTGACGCTAACAGGCTCCCAACAGACAGTCCCTCGATTGAATCTTATCACCCAGGGAGGGTGAGAGGGCCTTGTTAGAAACGACAGCCGAGCGCCTCTGCCCTGCCAATGACAAATGGCTGGCCACCCGTCAGCCATGCTGACGAGCTTTGGCTGGAAGGCAGAGGCACTAATGAAGACCCCCCACGCCCCCTGCTCCTGTGGGTGGCGGGCTCGGGTGGGAGTGCGCATCCCACTCATGAGCGGCAGCCTGTGGGGTTTCCGTCTTCCCAGTCTGTTGCCATGGAGAAGGAGCCGGTGGTGTTCATACAGCTGCGCCGATGTCTCCCGCGAGACGCGCCATGACGAGTTGGACTGGAAGTACCAAATGAGCAGCTATAATCTTCAAACTGTATGAATAAGTGATTGATGGGGCGCGGGGGCCGCACACAGCACTCTGGGTTCTGGCAGCGTGGGGCCCGGCAAAATGAAGCAATCAGCAGAGACACAAACAGCACAGCCGCTGGCTCACGCGGCCTTCCGCGGTGCCGCGCCCTGGGCCTGGGGTCTGCCCAGAAACAAAGACCGCCTTCTGCAGGCCACTACAGGTCCTGACGGCTCCAAACCCTCCTCTGATCCGTTCTTCCATGTGTGGCTCTTGGAGCTTTCTGAACCAAGGCTGAGCCTGCCCCCCTCTTCCCGCTGATGGGTAATGGAGACTGATAGGTATTGGGGGAAGTGAGCATCCACAGTGTGAATCCCTGGGACCTCCTCTGAGATCCCTGTTCCCTGCTCCCTGGAGACTCCCTATCCCCCAACCAGGTCCAACTGGACTTGGGGCCAAAGGTGACCATGACCTGGCAAGAAAAGTGAAGCAGGACCTACCTGTGTCCTCTCTCCAGAATTTTGGCATTGAGACCTCTAAGACTCACCAGTTAGAGGTGATTGGTGGAGTTGAAAGAGGAGGCAAACGCCCAAGACAGATGGCAGGAAGCCAGCAGCCCCGGGGAACACAGGAGACAGAGACAGGAAGACTGGACACAGAACGTCGTGAGCATCTCCTGTTCCCGAGTGTGGGATGGACAGACTCTACCCTCACCCTCCAGCTTTGACCTCCTTCTGGATACATGAGGGGACCATGCCCTACTGTGCCCCTGCAGTCAGGTGGGGCTACTGTGCTACTGGTTCTGGCCAAGGGGTAGGGGACATCCCTGCCACGGCTGGGCAGAGCACGTAAGTGCTGTGGGAGCCCCAGTCACTGCCCAGTGAGGCATCCTCCAGCTGCATCCCCACCAGAGACGAAGGGGTCTGAGTGAAGAGCCACCCAGACTCACGGCAGGTGATGTGCACGGATGGACACCTCTGCAGGGCAGAGCCAGCCTGGGCATCCTGGTTCCTCGCCCCAGCTGTCCCAGCCACACCCTGGCAGCTGACCAGTGCATGGGCAACACCTTCCCCGAAACTCAAGATGGGCCAAGTGGGTCCATGCACCTGGCCTTCAAAGGATCCCTTACGACAGCACCCAGACGCAGTGCACCATGGTCGGCGAGAGCACCGAGCCCTGGGGCCTGGACTGGCCACTGGCTCCCATACAGGGGGTGCTGCCTCCAAGGTCCTGCCCGTGGCCTGGGTTCTAATCCCTTGACATGAGCTAACTTAAGTACCTGCTTCTCCTGTGGTGCACCAGCACCTGTGCGGCCAGTGCCATCCTGGCCTACAGAGATGACCACCAGCAGCACCCGTGATAAAGAGGGACATGGCGTCCTGGAGCCCCGAGGAAGATGGCGGCAGGGCAGCACGGTGCACTTCTGATGTTGCAGGACGGCGGACTGTTTCCCAAAGACGCAGCCGACAGAAGTGGCCCCCATCCTTAGGGTAACCTCCTCTTTAGGGGGCGAGTCCCGCTTTCCCCCCTGGAACAAGAGCAGGGAGAGCAGGCTGGTGGCTGCAGTGCGTCACCGGGCAGCCGGCAGCCAGGCCGCTCCTACAGAGCCACGCACCCTGTCTCTGCTCCCTGGAGCACTCAACGGGTGGCTCGTGGCTGGCACGCCATGCAGAGAGGCCACAGATGGGCTCTGGCCATCCACCCTGGTCTCTGGGTCCTCCTGGCTGGACCCCAGACAGCAGAGTGGAGATGCCACTCTTGTCCCAGTGCCAACCACTTCCGGCTGTGAATCTTCCCGTTGGTGGCCCCAGATACCGTGGAGTGGAGACAGGCCATCCCTGGTGCTCTGAATTCCTGACCCACGGGGTCCAGGGACATTTGGAATCGTCCTTCTAAGGCCACAGATCTGCTCTATGAGGCAGCAGTAGCCACCGGACAAAGGTGAAGCCGCGGAAGCAGGAAGGTGGGAGGAGGCGGTAAGGAGGGCAGTGAGGGGGGCGGTGAGGGGGCCGTGAGGGGGCGGGCGCCGTGGGGCCCGTGCTAGGCGGGAGTGACCGACCCAGGTGGGAGTCCTGGGGACGCTCCGCGGAGGAGCTTGCGATTCAGAACTCAGTTCCCACGGTCACAGGCGGTCCTCAGGGCGTGAGCACCTGAAGCCTGGAATGTGGAGGGGTCACCTAGAGAGAGGCCGAGCTGCGGGTGCCCAGTACCTAGCGCGGATCCAGAGTGGGCAGAGCACATGGCCCCAGGTGGGGAAGGACCCCATGTCCATCCACACAGGGTGGATGGGCAGAGCGTGGTGCTCACACTGTGGTGGGAAGGGGGACCTGCTGCCCCCAGGGCCAGGCAGCCGTCCCTCCACGTGACGTCAGGCAAAATGCCAGACAGAAAGGGCGTGTCCCCTGGTCACCGTGAAATAAAAGCCAAACAGCGGGTCCCCCTGGAAACCAGAAGACGATGGGGAGCCGGGTGGGAACGGCCGAGGGGCACAGGTGCTGGCCGTGACCTGGAGCCGGCCGGGGACCTTGGGTGCTCACACAGGGGCGCTCAGTGCACAGAACTCCATCAAGTCGTACGGTCTGCGCCCCTGACTGCGCCCGCCGTGTTTCTCCTGTGGAGAGCTCGCGGGAAAGGCTCCCACATCCTCCGTGCAGCGGCCCCTGCGTCCCGTCGGCTGGACTGGGAGGCCGCCCCGTCCCCCAGCCTGCGGGCGTCTCTTCAGCTGGATTCCCTTCTCCAGGGCTCCGCTTCCTCTTCAAGGGCGGAGTTTTAAAAATTCCTTTGCTTGTCTGAACTCCTGGGCGATGAGGTCCCCAGACCCCATAAATAAAGTGTGGTCCCCTGGCAGCGAGGTTGGCGCTCTGCTCTGTGGTCCTGTAATAACACTGCTGATTAAAGTTCACTCGGCTGAGAATTAAATATCATTGCTGACGCATCACTGAGCTTTCACAAAACGGTTTCCGTGGGTATCAATGCCCTGAGAATGATGGAAATGAGACATCCATTAAAGGAGTCTTAATTAGAGTTTCAAGAAATGTATAATTGACTCGTCTTAATTATTACCTAACTTTACCCCATCATTTTATCACATGCTTCACTGTGGCACCATGTGGACTGTGTCCACCAGTGACAAGCGTACTGTCACACTGGCCACAAGGAAGAGGGCCGACGGGAGCCCTGGCCTGCCGCTCTGTCCCTTGGACTCGCACGCACCTGAGAGTGCGGTAGGTAAGCAGGGCCTGCTAACTAATGGGCGCAGCGTCAAGACACCCGGGTCTCAGCCTGGGACAGGAGAGTCACCACCCACGGGCCATGCCCCCATCCCTCTCTAACATCCGTGGTGTCACAGGCAGTACGGACACCGGGCTTCGCGTCAACCTGCAGCATGCTTCAGCAAGCAGGACCGCCAGAGGACCCTACCAGCCCTGCACCTGAAGGCAGATGTCCACCCAACCCCACCACCGGCCCTGGCTCTCCCCCAGTCCCCTGACTCACCTCGTGTGACAGCCATGGTCCCCTGCCTTCCTGGTACAGAAGACGCCCAGCTCGGCTCAGCAAAGCCTGAGGGAGACGAAGGCCTATTTCCCCAACCCTCCTAGTGAGCTCTGGCTCGGGGACGGGGGCTCGCACGTGCTCACCCTGGCCCCTTTGGAGACCAGCTCCCTGTTGGAATGAGCTCAGAGGCCGAGCTGCTCTTCCGGGGAGCCCTGGCTTCTTGGGGGGTGAAAGATCCCGTCTTCGCCTCTGCTCGAGTGCGGCCTGCTATTTCTTTGGGGGCTTCACATAGCTGCAGAGGAGGAGGAGGAAAGCAGAGAGAGGGAGGAAGGGGAGTCCACTCATGTCACAGGGACCTGGACCCAAAGCGGCCCCCTGGGCACCTCTCTCCCCTGTGCTGACCGAGAGCCAGCGCCTGCCTGGGGCCCAACCTCCTTCCACTCCACACAGCCCAGGCCCTGGGGGTCTTTCTGGAGCACATGGACTTGAACTGGCCTGGAAGAAGCCTGGGCATCCAGGGCTGGGTAGCAGAGGCCACCCTGGATGCTGCAGGTCAGTGGGAGGAGGGTTCCCGGGGTGGCAAGACCTTTTGCGTTCACAGGAAGGCATTTATTTCAAAATGTACTAGGAAAATAATATGTGATTAGAACACGTGACCCGAGACACAATGGTATCGCTGATCCAAAATACGCAAAGGACTCCTATGATGTCGTAGCAGAAAACCAAACAACCTAACTAAAAATAAGCAAAGGAACTAAAGAGACATTGGTCCAGAGAAGAAACGGAAATGGCCAACAGGTGTCTGAAAGCTGCTCCGTGAAGTGAAGCTCATTGTCAGGGAAATGCAAATCAGGACCCCAGCAGGTCGCAGCTCCCACCTGCGGGGATGGCCAGAGTGGCCGTCACCCCAGAGACAGGCGGTGCTGTGTGGCTGAGGCGGGAAGGGAGCCTTGCCCACTGTTGCCAGGACGTTGATGGTACACCACTCGGGGACAATCCAGAGGGTCCTTGTGAGCCACAAAGAGCTCTGCCCCGGGATGCAGCAATCCCAGTTCTGAGTGTGCAGCCAAAGGCTCTCTTGGCCACATCTGCCCTCACACGTCCTCCCAGCTTTGATTGTGGCAGCAGAGAGATGGGGAGCCTCGAGCCTGCGGATGGGTGACGGATCCAGAAGTGTCCCATGCCCCGGCACAGGACATCACTCAGACCTAAACAGGAGGGAGACCCCCCCATTCACAACCAGCTGGATGAACCTGCAGGAGGCAGACCCAGGAGGGCAGACCCTGCGAGATTACTACAGGAGGAGCCCAGCGTGGCCAACCCAGACAGCAGCACAGTGGTGACCAAGAGGGGGACCAAGGGAGGGACCAAGGGGGGGACCCAGGGAGGGGCAGTCACAGGATCCAGAGTTCCACGCAGGGGCAGTGAATCCCAGGAGCCGATGCACATGTCACCCACAGCTGACAACTGGCCCAGGGGATTGTGCTCCTGTTAGGAGTTCTCACCACGAAGGTAAGAGAAGAAGGTGGGAGGAGGCAGGCAGCAGGACCGGCACGTGCACCCACTAAGCGCTTCCCAGGTGCACCCAGCCTCCAACGTAAGGAGCTGGCTCATCACACAGCTTGTGTACGCCACTCTCGTGTCAATACAGTGGTTTCACAATAAATAAATAGACAAATCTTGTTTCATTTAACCAAAATAGTGATCATACTGCTTAAGGTTAAAACAAATTCTCCTCCAAATCCTTTTTAAACATTTTTGCTGAGTGAGAACTCAGATGCTCGGACACCTTAGCCTGGGTGGTGGAGGCGAGTCGGTCTCTGAACTCTGCGAGGCCCTGTGCCCGCCTCCTCCCTGCCCTGTCCCCTCAACACCACCCCCCCATCTTCTGAGGATCTTTCTCAGACAGAGACATGAAAATGAGGATTAGTACAAAGCACTGTGTCCTCAGCCCTGGGAGCTCATAGCAGCTGAGAGGGTGCTGGGGGACGGGGGGACGAGGATCAGGTGCCCAGTACTGACAGAACCACAGGCACGCTAATCGGGGGCGGGCAGCTCCTGCCAGGGTGGGCAGCGTCCAGCCCCCTGGCTGTCCCCGGGCTGCAGACCCTGCCCTCCACCCCACCCTCCGGAACCTCCCCAGGTTCCCATTTGGGGCTGTTAAAGGCAGATCAGTCATGAGCTCGGCTCGGCTGGTGGCCAGAGCCACCCAGGGGAGTGACAGGCAGGGCTTCAGGAGACACTGGCTTGCCCTCCTGGGCGCAGGGAAGGGTGGGCGCACTCTCCACACAGGCTCGAGGAAGGCAGAGACGACAACTCCGTGAGGCCCAAGATTCCTTCCGGACAGACGATTGGGCGATCCTTGACATTCTTCTCCTAAAAAATAAGCAAGATAAGATTTGTCCAAACGATAGCGACTTCCTTCCAAACACTCGGTGGTCTGTGCCGCCCCATTCTCCTATGCACAAAGGAGTCCTTTCTCCGCTTCAAAGTCACCTGTGCTTTGGCAGCGCAGAGCCGAGTCTGGGGAGTATTGATAAGGTGTGCCGTGCGGGCCACCTGGGTGGACGGGCGCTGCTACCCTGTGTGGCAGGCGATTGTGAGTCTCGACAATACCTCTAAGAGGCTTATGTCCCAGCTTCACCTTTCACCAAACATCTGCTAGGAGGATTTAGATAAGATGTCTCAGGATGATGTCACAACCCACACACCGCCACCTCCTCCTCGTCCCCCTGGGAAGGGAAGAACAACAGCGCATCAGATGCAAACTCGTTTGGGGTATTCAAATTTGCAACCCCACAAAGGAGAGTTTGGCCATGTGACAAAGGGTCACCTTACCACGGTGGCTGGCGCTCTCTGTACGTGCTCAGATAAGTCCACTCCTGGCCACAGCCCACCTGAGAACAGCTGAGAATTCTGGCAGACTTTGGAGCGAACGCTGGCACCGTTCCCGAAGACTGCATCCACGCAGGTCCGCACCCTTGGCCATAACAGCAGTGCCCCTCTACAGGGGGACGTGGGGGGCGGGGGTATGACTGCCCGCCCTGGCCTAGGCTGGAGACATGCCTGGACCAATGGGGCGTCAGTCCATCAGGGAAGCACTGGACTGGTTGGCACTGACTGGCTTTCAGTCCCTCCCAGGCCCTCCTGCCATGCCCAAGAAGACAGGAAGGTTGGGGACCAGCCCAGCCACCGTGCCCCAGCCAAGGACAACACAGTTCAGAGCCCCCACAGACAAGAGCAAGGCCAGCCCAGCCCAGACTCATGGGATACACAACTCATAGAAGCCACAGGTAGAAGAGCCACTGGCCCACACGATTACGGGGCTGAGAAGTCTCTCTCTCCGACAGCCACACACAAGCAGGACCCCCAGGAGGGCAGGTGGGCGCTCCAGTCCAGCTCAGAGGCCTCAGGACCGGAGAACGGTGGTGTGCGCCCACGTCCCACAGCAGAAGAGGGGTGTCCAGGCCAGCAGTCAGGCAGAGAGGGTGCCCTTCTGTGGGACTTTTCTCCACTCAGGCCCTCAGTGGACGGCATGAAGCCCGCACTGGTGAGGGTGCAGAGCCTCACTCAGGACACTGGTTGAAATGCTGGTGTCTTGAGAAACACCTCACAGACACACCCACCAATGATGCTCAGCCAGACGTCTGGGCCTCCGAAGCCCACTCAAGGGAACATTCAAAATTCACCAGTGCACCCCTGAACCGCCCGGAGGCAGTCCACAGCACGCGTATCTCTGCCTGCCCGAGGTCTTGGGGTCACCACATTGTTACCAAGCCTCCAATGCCCCGTGCACGGCAGGCTCCACGCTGGATGTGTAACGGTGCTCACGTCCACCTGGGCCAGGTGTGTGGTCTTCCCAGGTGAGGGCAGAAAGGCATCAGAAGGTTGAATCACTCCTTCAAGGTCACGTGGCCAGAACCTGGAGAAGACAAGAATTTGGACCAAGAAAATGCTCTACAGAGTAATATTTATACAGTACCTTGCCCTGGTCCAAACGTTACTGTGGCGCTCTTGCTGAAGTTCTTCTTCTGTTATTACGGTGCTGTTACTCTGGTATTACTAGTGCTCATGACACACCGCTAGCAATGCTATCACTCTCAGATTACCGTGACGGCACAAGCCCCGCCAAGTACATCAGTTCTGGACTCCCACAGAGTACAAACCGCTGTACATGAACCTACGGCTTTCTTTTCCTCCAGGTCCCACGCCTGTTCTTCTGAAGCCTGTAAACTTCAAATAGATCCCCACCATCTCGCACAACAGGCGTTTCACATGGATTTCTGAGCGGTTAAGGGTCTGTACCCAGAAGGTAACTCCGG